AAAAAGCGGAATTCCCGTGTGTTTGCAGCGTGAATGTCGGCGCGCAGCTGGGGGAGAATGGAGCGCTCCCCCGCAGGCTCAGCAGCACCCGCCTCACCGGGCGGCTTTCATTCATCCAAAGATTGCTCTCTTTGCCTCCGTCCTGTTTGAACGAGTTACTTGATAGTGCTTCTAGCAAGAAAATCTCCGCGTTGATGAGTTAATCAGAATGAAAGAGGAGCTCATCTTCGCTGTGGGAAACATGCAGAAGATTCTCTGGCTGTCCTGAGAATCTCAGTAAGGTTTTGGTGCCATTCTCTCCCTGAGAACACAGTGCTTTCTCTCTACAGAAGTTTCAAGTCATAATCAAGTAACACCCATACGGGCAGMAAAAATCCTCTGCACACAACACCCCATGCGGCAGCAGGGAGCATCCCCGCCCAGAGTGCCCAAACGCGTTCCCAAGTGTTCCCGATGCTCCAGCTGCGGCTCASCACTTACAGGAAAGGGCCCCTGTCCTCAGGCTACCCAACCATGGCCAGGAGCTCATGTCACACAGGCTCATGTGCAGCCCTAAGTCACCTCAGGTCAGCGGGAAGCTGGCCCTGCCTGCTCCTGTCCCAGCTCCCTGCACCGCGCTGGCTCCCGGACGGAGCGGAGGAGCGATGCACCGAGGAGAACAGCCAACGAAAAGAAAGCCCTTTGTTTGCTCAATGAGTCACTGAGACGAATCAATTTATTATTTTTTTTTTTCTGTCCAAACACAGAACGCAGTATTTGTAACTCGTYTGTGCATTGTGTGGGTGAATGATTTCCAGCCGATTTGTTTTGCTCTGTGTTTGGCGGGTTCTGGCGAGGCTCCCGAGCCCTCGCTGCCTGAGACACTCTAACAACAGAAGCTTAACGAGCAGGAAGCAATGAATTCTGAATAAGGATTTTCAGCTAAATAAATACGTATGAGGAGATTTSTGGAGCTTTAGGGATGCCGAACTGTCTACCCATCATCTGCGCACCCTCAATTCCAAGAAGCGATGCAACCTTAGGRAGCAGGATCCCAAATGAGTGCCTGCATTTCACACTTATTCTCCAGTCACTTTCTTAAGCAATTACTCTCCCCTTTGATCATATTCACATCTGCTCTGTTTTTCCTGCTAACTAGTTTCCCAGGGTAAGAGTAAAGTTTAGTCTTCCAAGCCAACTACATAATTTCAAACACTTTCTGACTTTTCTGCATATTTCTTTTCTTAATAGACATAAGTGCATCACCTTGTGTTTTTACGACCAAAAYTAACACATTGTGAAGAAAATAAAATAATAAAAGCAAGCACAGTTAAAAATAATTCATATTAACAGTTCATTTCTGRATACAAATGTATTGAGCATTTTCTGGAAATAGGCAATGTCATATCTGGGTTGTAAGTRAATCCTCTTTTTACAGAAAAATCCAAATGGTAACAATTAGCACAACAACTTAATGGAGATTATTCTCTCAGCAGATACYTCATTGCACATGCAATAAAGTCACTCCATCTTTCATTACAACTATTTTGAAGTATTGTACTGACCTTTCTACCTCTGGCAGCAGACAGGGACTGCAGAATTTCTTTGTTTCGTTCCCCAGACTGTTGATCAATGCAGATTATTTGACATCTGCTACAAGGACCCACAACCTGAAATTTTAGTTAAAGAGAGTTCATGGCTGTTTATCAAAGCAGTACAACATTGAACAGCACACACTTTTAACCATAATAATATCTTAAACACATACCTTTTGCATACTTTTTCTGTGGTTTTTTTAAGCTTTCATTATGTAAAAGGTCAGGTCTGTTCTGGTAATGTAGCAGTTGTACTTGCAAAAGTCTCACTGAATTTTTAATTCCCTTTTTTTTTATTTTTTTTTATTTTTTTTTTAGGGAAAACTTTCTCAGAGACAGAATCTGAGAAATACCAGACATTTACATATTTGTATTTCCTGATGGCTTCACTTCTGTGGGTTAGCAGGGCTGCTTGCCCAAAGAACTGAATACAAAATTAAGTCAGTGCCTCAAGATTTAATGTAAGGAGGATTTACTTGGGACTGTTTTAGCACAGCTAAAATTCACAGTATCTTTCTTAGGTTCGTGGCACTTTTGGATAATCAGAATGTAAAATGTTTACATATGTAAGTTTATATAATCAGAAGAAATAATTAATCCTCTATAATCTATTACATATGATGTTACCATCATAYRTAATTGTTCTTAAACTTAAYTGTTGTTTGAACTAAKGAGTRTCTTTASAGAAAAAAAAAAMAAACCCTGCAACAAATTTCTTMGTATTTTAAAATGGAGAACGAWGACATATTGCRCTTTCACTTAACATTCCATCCCTAACTTTGGCAARGCTGTACATTATAGAAATTAAGTCTTACAGTATCCCASTAWATGCATTCCACTTTTGTGAAATGTGYCATAAATTTCAAATAGGGCAAATAAATAAACCATTCACTTCATTTTATATGCTGATCTGAAGTGATATTTCAGGTGTTTGAGATGCATCTAGAACTGCTTGTATAACTCTGGTGTAATCATCAACATTACACATGAGCTTTTTTAGAAAAGTATTTTCCACAGCTTTATTTTTTTTATTAAAAGAACAACAASACTGAGAAGGAAATGTTTTTTTCTTGCTTTACTTTGTTCAACAGTTTCTAYGATTTTTGTGGCATCAAGAAGCATTAACATAATTTCTACTGTTACTACATCAGTATCTGAATAAGAACCTAGCAGAGATGGGAAAAGACAATGCAAGGTGCATAAGCCTTTCTATTTTTGCCTTGTTTTCCTAAAGTGTATCAATACTAGAAACAGGAATGACTTTTCATTTTATAATTTTACAATAACTTATCACCAGGAGTTTCAGCTGAGCTCCCCAGTGTAACTCCAGTCTCCCAACGAATCATACACCAAGGATATTGTTGTTTGTGTTTTTCTGTAACTCATATTGCAGCTTAGCAACCAAAGTACACATAAGAAGAGAGCAGATAASTAATATTTGCCACCCTTGCTGAAAAAAATTCTTACAGCATGATAACCAGAAAAAAATAGGAGTGATGTTTATCACAGCTTCTAGATTTGACCTCAGCACTTCTGTTATTCTCACCTTAATTATAATATCCAAGAAAACAATGAATAAGCCACTTTCACATCCTAAGCAAAGCATCCTCAAATACAGATTTCATATCTCTACAACAGACAAATTCAACAGAACATGTAATACATGTGTGCATCATTCCCTTAGGTTTAATGTGTRGCTTCTACAGGTTCTTTGTTAAGAGTTTTTCGTAAAAGAATGTATTTGCAAACAAAGTCTGACTCTTCAGCACTTTCCTTACAGTACCAAGGATATTATGTTGTTAGTTATGATATGAACATACCAAAACCTCCTACCAGGCTAGAAACAGGAACATTCCTTGAGTGGAGATTAGGATAAGATGTGTACATCAGAGGGCAGCAGCCAATGAGTGTTCACTTGTATTCATGTCCAGCCTTTTGGCAAACAGTTGCTCGATGTGCAGCAATCTGAGGTTATATTTGGACTACTGTGCTTAACAGCAACAAATATTCTTTGCTGATGTGCTGGCTAAATATTTGCTGTAAGCTCTGCCTCAAAAAACCTGATTATTAATTGGTTCAGGTAGATGAAGATAAGATATGTTACGAATTATGAAATTAAAATGTGGAGAAGCATGTCAAAACCTCTCAATTATATTGAAGTATATTTGTAACAGGACATATCCCATTTTTATTTTTTTTTTTGCACACTTCATAAATTTCACCTCCACAAACTGTGCTGCCTGTATTCTAGCCCAAGCCTTGCAAAAATTGTTTTGTCTACAGGAATCAAAAAGATAGCTTTGTGATAGTCTGGGACATGGACAAGAGAAAAGTTCACACCTGGAATTGCAGAGCACCTATWGAAATCTCAGCCCACTCTTCTTCTTCAAAGGACTCTGGTGCACTGATGACAATGTTGGCACGGAAACGTCGGATTAATTCCTCTATTTCCAATGGCTCCTTCAATCTGCCTCACAGAGTTGACAGAGAAAAACAAAAAAWAAAATTATTAACTTTTTTTGCACTAGACGTTTGTGCTGTAAGAGTCTGGTGGCTCATGTGATGAAACAAACTCTTCTCCAGAATAACCTGGGCCAAGTTTTATTACAAAGGCTATGGAAATGGCACAAGGTATTTAACTCTAATTTGTAACCTTTCCACTATAGTATGTAACCCTCTAGGTGGCTTCTTCAGTGGTGTAACWTGGAGCTGTAGGTATGAAAACATGTAGACATGTGATTGCAAAACATGCATATGAGAAAATTCCCAATTTGTTATAATATGTAAGTCTAATGGTAACAAATAAAAATATCTTTTCAGCCAGTAATCATTTGACTTGTTAAATGYTGTAGAAATAGAAGCTTCTAGAACCAAACGCAAATAGTTTATTCTGCACATGCTGCAATGTCAAAGGGACAAAAACAGCAGTTGCTGAAGGTGAAAAAGGCCAGTAAAATAATTTTATGAGAGAATATATCCCTCATATTATTATTATTTGCCTTTGGGAGGCAGCAGATTGCACCAAACGATAGGTGTTTTAAAAAAAAATTAATCTCTGTGTGGTGATATCTCCCCCTCTTTACAAGCATTTGAACTGCCAGAGTTTAGATTTGTGTCAGTGTGGAGAATGTATATGAGACAGGAGGAGAAGCAGACTGCATACAAATATCAGAAATCTTGCTGCATCTTTGAATTGTCATTCTTCACTCTTCTTCTAAAGGAGAACTTGAACAGTACCCCAAAAGAAAAAAAAAGAYACTGTAAAAAACATTTGCAAGAGGGTTCTCTCAGTGCCATTGTTAGTGGAGAAGAACACTTCTTTTTGCACTAGCTATTAAGGACATGAAGAATTTTTGATACTCCATCAGCTTTAGTCTGACAACTTTGGGATATGACATGCTACAGCAGAGGAAAAACCTGGGTAAGCAGTGAAGGGAGGAGTTTTTGTCCCCAAAATAAGGTAATGAGGACATACGGTTTAAAATGTGTATTAGTTAAAACAAGAAAAAACATGTGAAATCAAAGTACGGGCAAACTTCACATCAAGCAATCTTGGCAGAAGAGGCCTGTTAGGAGAAAAAAAAGACCTTGGTTTTATTTAAAATAGTCTGTATGATCTTCTCTAGCAGACAGAGGTGCATAAGGAGGAACTGCCTGCGCAGACTTTGAGTGAAACCACAGCAGCCAAGCTCCACCGAGCCCCCGGKGCTCACAAGGGCTGCAGCAGCCTGGGGGCAGCAGGTGGGATGGGAAGCTGCAAGGATACAGCTTATTCCTCAAATAATCCCATGGCTGGGACACAATTTGTGATGAGGGCAGGAGGTGGGAGCCAATAGGAAATGCAGATTATGCCAGTGGTGATACAAACAAGGAGGAACACAGCAGTCACTCGTGAACAGCTCACTTACGCTGCTCTGCTCCCTGGCTCTGCTGTGGGCTCTTGGAGTTTGGGTATTGAGCCTCTCATTTTAAATGTGTTTTGCAAAATATAAGTGCCTGCCACCCCAGCCTGCCCTGGTGGGGGCATTAAAAGCCCCAGTAACCCAGAAGTGGGTCTGCAGTGTCCCAAGCCAGCAGTTGAAAATTACTTTGAGCTTCTACTAATCCAGCCCTGGCTGCTGGACTCAAAGGCTGCAGTGCCCCTAGCCCAAGTCTCGCTGCCTTCAGCCTGCTCAGGCTCAATTCCAGAATACCTCACCTCTCCTGCACCTCCCCCAGCCCTCAGAAATGCGTARTTACTTGGCAATATGTATCTGACTAAATTCCCATTATTTTTCCTCCCACAAAACAGGTTGGATGGAGTAACAGGTACCTTCATCATGCAAATCTCAACAAGGATCTGTTTAGAAAAACAGTGTAATTTGCCAAGGTCAGCCTGGGTGCTGTGGGCATTCACAGCAGTGGACTCTGTGATGAAAAATGCATTACCTACATTTAACAGGCAAACTTGAAAACTAATATTTATATTTCAGGGTTATATTTCTAACAAGAACAATTGAGCATTAGGCCAGGCCATAAGGAGTTTCATGGAGGTAACCTGTACTGGAAATGCCAGAGAGACTAATATCTGCAGGTACATGTAGCTCTCCAACTCTAGGCTGTATTCTAATTTTTAATTGAATTGTTGCTTCTGTTTTAGTTCACCTGTCAAGAGCCAAGTGCAAACTGGAAGATTAGCTTTTACTTATGGAAGGTACAAAAAGAAATTATGAAAACTTAATTGAATATTTAAATTGTTATAATAAAACTTAGCAGGTTTCTATTTAATGGAAACAAACCAACATGCCAAGAAGCTTAATAATACTTTCTAAAACCCCTCCAATATTTAATAATGATCCATACATAAGCRCAGTTCTTGAAAGAACATTGGACAGTTAAATATTTGGGAAGTTCATACACTGTGATTTAGTAAGAGTGCAGAAAGAGGATATATGAATTAATTTCTCCAGTCATCATTGCAGCTCCTGTCACATCTGGAGTTTCCTTTGAGGAAAGGGAGAGTACAAGCCTAGTTGTGCTGGAATATATTAGGTGTAAAATCAGTGGATCATCTGGCACTGAATGTCTTACTGAACTTCCTTGTTCTCCTTCATCCTCACTTGCTGCTTCTTACTCTTCATCTCTGCACTCAAATCCAATATCTGGAAGATTCCTCAGTGCGTCTTAACATGGATAAACCCAGTCTGAGTAAGGGATGTCTCCAAGAAATTCCCTCCCAAGGAGATGTAACCCAGCCAGTCCAGCCTCACAAGAAGGAATTGTCACTGAGACAGAGCAGTCAAAACACAGGGAKATGGACTGATTCAAACCTTTTCTGCACACATTTCCCATGATATTCTAAAATTGCCCAACTGTCTTCTCCTAAAGAAGGAAAACCCTCAGACAATGCAAGCTCCAGTGGTTTCAGAGATGCTGCAGTCAGTGCAGGGTGACTGGGAGGAGATGACTCCAGGRAGAAGCAAGAGAGAAGTTTTGTGAGACAGGAAAAGGGGGTTCAGAGACAAGTGCTGGGGCTRTGGGATGCACAGCTATAAAGGTGGCATCGAGGGAAGATTTTCTCTGGAATTTGAATCTTTCCTAGTTATATTTAAGAGACAACCATTTTCTATTGTCAATATATGAAMATTTGGTTGGTAATGAGTTTGCTATCTTTGAACTGTGGGCTGACTCAGTGTTTCATTGCTCCTTCTGTCTCCTACTTTTGTATAAGTAAAGCCAAATTCAATCAAGATATAAATTATTCCAGTTCTGAAAGTACTTTTAAAGTATTTCTGTTGTGCATATTTACCCTAAATCTCAATAATTCCTAYGGGAGAGAAATAGTTCAGCGTAGCAAGACTTTATATTTTTACCTGCCAGATGATTTATGTTGAGAAAACCTATTTATCATTGTTCTTCAGACAAATAGCAGTAAGCTGGTTCTCAATTATATCTTTCCACCAAATAATTGAAAAAGTTCCATTTAAATTTTCCTAAAGATGATTGGTAGACATATTATGCTCGTGCATTTAATCCAAATTTTCAGAAATCATAGAAGAATTAGTAATTATAGTAGTTTAGTAGCTACACATTTGTTGAATGTTGAAAAGTAACTATCTCTAAATTTCCAAGTAAAACACCTACATTGGCATCTCATGGCAAGATTTTGGAATCCAAAATCACTGAGAGACATTTGGAGACAGAAGTATCTTACCTTGCAGAAATGTGTYCTTTCAGCTGCAGAATGCTTGCTACATTTATCAGGAGGTATTGTGCTTCATTCACAAGAGAGAGTGAGATGTTTGCAGCWGATGACAGACCTAAAAAAATCAATCCAACATTCTAAAATTATCATCAAAATTAGCAATGTCACCTCATCTTTCCTTTGACTTCTTACTCATTCTCATTATTACTTTATTCATTTGGTTCCAGACACTAAAGAAATATTCCAAGGATGCCTTAAAACCTGGAAATGATAATGATGCAATGCAGTTAGAAACTGAGATTGAGTTGAGATTTTACCAAAATTTAAAACCATTTACAGGAACAATATCTATGCATTTTCGATGTTCTTTCAATTTCAGTGCTCGTTCAATTATTTTTATAATAAAATTTAGTCTCTGAATAAATTCTTTGATTCTTAGACTTTTCATGATCATTTTCCAAATGATCTTTGAGTTTCCAGACAAAATCATAGTCATGATGATAACTCCCTCCATACTGGCGTATCTGTGTTTTTCCACCAAATTTTAGAATCAGAAGTGCTGCAAAAAGTCACTTTGGGTATAAAAGTACCCACTAAATCAATGCTGGATGATTCTTTCAGCCTTTATCAAGGTAGCTATATACTCAGTATGATGCCCATCAGCCTGATGCTTGCATGAGGAATCACAAGTATTTGTAAAAATGACAACATACCTTTTGTATTTTTCTGATGTGACTTGTTTTTTATGTCTGAACTTTGTCTTATCAAGCGACATGGACGACCAAGAAAYGTAGAGAGCCAGCCAGCAATTCTTTCTCCACAGTCATATGTTTTTACCCTATTACAAGAAAAAAGGGAGTTGCAATTTGATTGCACAAACATTTATTTGCAAAACAGAAGTCAAATTGTGAAGATGGTTATTCTGCTTCCTTCAATACAAAGTACAGAATCTGTGTTGTCTGGTGAGTGATGTGAAGCTCTGCATGACTTCAGCTACCCATTTCCTCAGATTTGTTACTCTTRAAATCAACTTTCACAAGATCTAATTTAGTTTTGAASAGAAGATTAGTGTGGAATAAAGGAWAAAATAATCACAATSCWAAGACACTGGCTCTGAAGTACAGTAAGTGGCAGCCCATACAGCAGTATTATGGAATTATGAAAAAGTCACACTCTGGTCTACTTTTCACTAAAACAGAAAGAGATGATCTGAGTTCAATCTAAGATTGCTCCACTGTGTGTAATTTTCATGATCCCATCAGGTACAATGATGTTACTTCCCTAATTCAATTCACGTTAGTACAGACATTCCATGTTAAAACATGGCTCCACTAACAGAGGCCAAGGATCTCTCTGAAGATGATTTCCATTACTTATAAAATGTCTATTTATGCAAGCTGGCAACAGAATTGTCTTCTTTACCTGGATATAATCTTTCCTACAGAGAATTTGAGATCACCTCTCTGCATCCAAGCAGTCTACARGTCAGTCCACTGGACATTAGATTCCTCAGCCCTGAGTAAACTTAATGTCAATCTTCCAAAATGCAGGCACCTAGTTTAAATCAGTTGTCTGGGTTTCTCTCACAGAAAATGGAAAGAAATAAGTAGCTCYCATCCATCTTAGACTTCAGGATGGGATAACTCTCACTGTGGGAATATTAACTCTCTATTGACCACAAAAGGAGATTTGACTGATACCTAACTTTAAAATTGCACAAGCACGTAAGGGGAATGTGAATTCTTATGCTGATCTAGGGAGGATTCTTGTAGYAAGGAAAACAGCTGTGTTCCTGTGCTCACCTTGTTGTCCTATCCAGCCAAAGGAGTTGATCTGCATGGAAACCATCTGTTTTGTGAAACAACAGCTATTCACAGCAAAAGGTGCTAAGCCCAAGGATTAAGAGGAAGTGSCTCAGCTTTACAAAATGCTCTGTAGGGTTCAACTGAATCACACAGGTAGAAAGCCAGAACAAGTGAAATCAAGGAGATTTTATAATCCTGCAAGGATCAGGTATCTCTTCAGCGCTTGYTGTGAATTTTGAATTATGATGCAGCTCTGCATCCCTCTCCCCTCTCTGAGGCTGGCCAGATGTCAAGCTCAGATGCATCTAGCTAGTGATGCCCTAGAACTGAAATGGTGTTCTGGTATGAGATGCAGGCACTGTCAAGAAAGAGGCCAAAAGGACAGTGTCCACATGAGATTTCGCAGTCTGAACTGTGCCCTTCCCAGTCGCTGTGTTAGGGAGAAGGCTGCTAATGAGAACACATGAATCTTCATGGTAACAGTACTGGGGAAACAAATTCCTCCAATATTTTTTTCCACCTTCACAGACRTACTAGGGGTGTTTAAAATCTCTTCTGAGCCAATTGCCTCTAGCAGCCTGTTGGAGATTAATAGTGTATAAATCAGTATATTTTTATATACTTACTGTTTTGAGTCACAAAGGCTGAGTTAGAGACTCACACTGTTCTTGATATTTCATCAAATGTCACTGTGTATGTTTTGTATTCCAAGACTTCTGTGTTTTCAAATTGTTTTCCCCTATTGTCAGACCATTTTCTGAGCAAGTGCCATCATCTCTTCAAGGTCYTAGTCAAAGTCATTTCGTTGTAGCTCAATTCTACTTGTTTTCTGYTTGTGTTTATTTTTGTGGAGTATAACTTTACATCTGTCAGCATTACATTTCATTTGGCACATGTCAGGCAATTTATAAAGGAGAGCCTATTTCTCTCTGATTTCACTTGCTGTTTGCCTTGAGTTCCCMACTCATCTTTCTATTATGTCATTTAGCTTCAGCGCGCTACAACCGCTCCCTGCAGCAGGGTAATTTACAGAACAAGAAACAAGGACAGGAGAAGTCTGAATATTGATCCCGAGAGATTCAACTCACACAACGGGCTCAGTTCACCTTGTTCTTAACTACACCTTTGCCTTCTACCAACTGYTACGCTTCCCCTGATCCCTTTGATATTGCAGCCTGCCAAAGAGCAGGCTGTGTCCCTACCTATTGCAGTAGAGCAGCAACCTTGAGCATTTAGGGTCTTCTACAACATCAATAACCTTATCAACATTAGCTTCTGGTTTCATCTGCCCACTGTTAGYTATTGCACCAGAGAGCCATGTCCCTCAGATGTGAGTGGCACCTGCTGATGGACAATCCCTGCTGAGATGAAGGCTAACGCTGATGAATTGCTTTGGAAGGGAAATTTGGGCTCATTAAACCTGCGTGGCTGCTGGAAAATTAAACTTCCTCACATGATTGCTTGCAGATTCTACATCATGTACTTTTCGCAGGTATCTCAGTCTAAATTCAGGGTAAGCAACAGCACTGGATGAAATAATAATGTCAGAGGATGGAATTAATAAATAGAAAGTGCCTTCACTAGGGGTTTCTTTTGACTAAAAACTTTTTAACAAAGACTTTTTGTCCCACTGCTCACCTTAGACACTTTGCAGAGAAGAACCCAGACCAAAAATCACCTCCTGTCCTACTGCAAAGCACTGCTTTTCTCATTATTTTCAGCCCTGGAGGCTTCTCTGGTGAAACACTGGAAACCAGCATCAAACATTGTAACTCTGGGCAGTTTTAGAGCCTCATCAGTGTTGTCCCCTCATCCTGCCTTACTTCCTGTCCTGTTTATTTGCAAGCCATAGTCCACTCTGCAATTTGTCTTCATATCCCCTTTCTTAYTCATTCTGTCCTTTCCTTTCTTCTCAGAACTCTAAGAAGTTTTCCATGAAAACTTCCAACCTGATACAATAAAAATGACACAGTCAGTTACATGAAAGAGAAGCTACAATAAATAGTATGGCAACAAATTTTATGCACACAGAGAGAAAGATAACCCAGGCTATTTTATAGCCTGTAATAGACGGGCTTACCGTGGGGAGGCTAGGGATGAGTCAACACTRAGGGAAGTGGGACAGATGGTTAAAACAAATGACTCTTGGGTGAATTCCACTACCTGAGGAAAATACACTTCTGAGGAAAAGATCCTCTTTATCATCTGAATAGCTAGCAGAAAAGAAGGAGAAGATAATTTTCTTCATGGCTCCATAGGGAAATTGCCAGGTCTTCAGCTGGTTTGTTTATGTGTTACTCAGAGAAGCAAATGTAGAGGGTTACAAAGAATTAGTATACCTTGGTTAAAGGAAGACATAAATCTTTAAATGGCTCTTTTAGTTGAACTTACCAAGAGACTCATTGAAAGAAAACATAGTAGATAATGCAAATGTACTTTAGGAAGCCACTTGATACACTGCCACTCAGAAAATTTAATGAGACTAGGGGAAGTTCTTATAAAAATATGATGGATAAACATTCAAGTTCACAGATAGGAAATAAGTTTATTCATAATGTTATATTCACTGAAGTGGTATGTCTCTTGGTTAGAATTAATGCTATTTAACTTACACACCTGCAGTCATCCCAAGGTTGTGAAGGGGACACTGAACCATGACCACATGGGTGGTCAAAAAAAATTAAAAAGGGTTGTAAATATGGAARGCTGTTTTCAACTTTAGAAGGTTCTAGCAATTTTAAATCCAGCAGTATGAAATGGGCAAAGTTGCCAGCATCATTAMTATTAAGTGCAGGAACTGAATTCAAGTCCTGCTGAGACCCCCAGCTGGCRTTTGGGTGTAACTGGGGACACCTTTTCCTTTTCTTATGCTTGGAGTAAATGAAAAAAAGGATCTCCTTCAAGTGAGTGCTAAGTCAGTTTATTGTACTGCCCTTCCTCCCCTTTTTTATTTTCTAAATTTTTTAAGGTTTTCTATCAGTCACTCTGGGGATGCCATCACACTTATTTAAACAGCACCACTCTCCTGGTCCCCTAAGTCATTCATTGCTTTCTACCATTATTTCAAGGAATTCTGTCTGTGTGCACATCTGTTCACATCCTGAGTGCCACTACAGAGATTTTCAGCTTCAATGCCTCTCTGCTCTCTCTTACCTGTGTGAACAGACTTTACTCTCACAGATCACAGCCTCTTTTCCAGTAGTGTCTTCTAGTGACACAGATATTGGGTCCATGCCTAGAGGGGCAGAGAGAAAGTCATATTTAAATGAAATAGAGTCATGAAAAAAGTTCTTATTTTTGCTCCTGTTCACAATCACAGCAGTCTCACAAACAACAAATTAAAAAGATCCTTTTTTTTTTTTTTTTTTTTTTTTTTTTTTTTTTTTTTTTTTTTTTTTTGCTAGAATTATATTCTCTGCCTGCAGGTGGCTCCAAATGATAAAACAAAGCACAAAGGCTGCATCCGACCTTGGTACTCAACTCATATTACGAAATATACAATTTCAGCTTTGAGTCACTCCATTCTGTTTATCTCAGGCAACGAAACTGGCACAGAATTATTGCCTCAGCCACAGTTTCTGTTGAAAGGATGGTCCCTCTAACAAATCAGGAGATGATGTTAAACATTTTCATGGGTTTTTTGAAGTAGAGGGATTGAGTGATCTGAAAGAGGAAACATGGAGGAGGAGGGAAGAAAAAAGAAGCACAGTCTGTTCCAAAAAAGAAATATACTGTAAGATAAAACTACAAAAAAATAAAGACAAAATGTATGGAAAACTGCAAATGAGAGAATTATCCCCATCTATTCATCTTCAAGTTTAAACCAGCTGAGGATTCCCTGGTAATGATCTATTTTAACAGTTTCTCCCACATTTTTCTCATCTTGAACAAAATGAGCCAAAGAGATGGAAAGGGTACTGCAGTTTACTAGAACCAAAAAGGAAAGCTGTAYTATTTTTCTTTCTCTTAATTGAAAGCAATAATCCTAAATGAAGAACAAAGTGTTTTACTGTGTGGCTGCAATGAATCCAGCTTTTCCATTACACTGCAACATATACTAACAAAGACTCTGACCCCCACCTTTCCCAGAATTGCAACAGCACATTTTGATATTATCCACTTATTCCTGTTTAAAATATTGTAAACAAATAAAGATCAAGCTCTACCAACACCGTGATATGGTGAAATCATGTTGGTTTATTTTCTTCTGAAGAGTAATGAAATGTAGTTCAGATTCATTATAACACAACTATCAACACAGTTTCATGCATATTTTACAAAGTAGAAAGTGCTCTACTTCTTCATTTAATGATGTCAGTACACTTCGCAAGTGAAGACAGAGGGGGAAAAGTTAAGTTCACTTAGGATAATAATGTAAACATGTAATAAATGCCTTAAACTACCCTGTAATGACCTGGAAAAGGTGCCATGGTTATCATCTTATCAATTAGAGCTAATSCTCTTGGACTTTGAAACAATTAAACAATAGCATCATTCCCTCTGGAAGAGTGGAAGAGTGAAATTTTTCATCCTGCATGCAACCTTAACTGTTACATTTTTTAAAATACTTTCTAAGAAAGGCATACTCACAAAATTTCTTAAAATAGGATTTCAGGGCCTTAAAAAGCCCTGCTTTTATACACCAGCAAGTGTATCACATTTTTATTGAACAGCAGACATTTTACAGTGATGTCTAGGTCAGTTAAACATTGTTAATTACAATTTTATTCTATCTTTAAGGCAAAAAACAAAGTAGAATATTGCCAGTTACTAAAATGTAAAAGCTGTCATTCTCTATGGTCATTTGCTTGATAATAAAATTCACAGATGTGCTCACAGTATTAATATAAAAAAAACCCTTATCGTTATAGGTCCTATTTTCAGTCAATGAGAAAAATTAGAGATCTGTTTTTTCAATAGACTGAAATATAAACTATTCATGTATATTCTTTCATCAGTGTATGCACTTAATTCCCATTATTTTTATTGGCAGTAACACATGACTATTTGAAGGCACAATAAACTCCACAAAGCACAATTAGCTGCTCAGTTTTGCTAGCATCTTTCTACTCCAATGAAGTACCTCCTCAACACTCAGAATTTCTCCCACTGTGCAGTGGCAAACTAGTGCCCATCTTGCCAGAGTAATGCTGATTGTTAGSTAAACTGGAAAGAGAGAAATTAGTCTTTTCCAGAAATGTATTCTCAGCCAAATTCTGTTTGGCAATACATTTGTGTAGGTCAGGAACAATTGGAATCTAATCTGTGCCCCCACGTATTTGCTGGAAGAGGACAAGGAGATTTCCCTTGATTCTCACTCAAATAATAGAATTTCTGGAAATAAAGGCACTTGTTCCGGCCCACCTTTAAGTTACTGGGAGCCAAACCACTAATTACTTCAATCAAGATACAAGAAGTTTTTCTCCATGGGGGCTGATTTAGAGTTAGGTACACTGATTTTCCCAAAGTAGGTTMTGTGATAGCAAGGCTTTGGTACACTCTGAACACTGAACAAAAAAGGAAATGCCTGTTAACAATCACATAGCCTGAGAAAATAATTCTGGCAAAAGTAATCTATGTAGGTTCTCAAAATTCAAATCTCACTCCCTCTGCTGAAGAAAAGCACAGSCAGTGAGAGAGTAGGCACAAGCACTTCCTCTCCCTCGCTCTCACTTAACCCCTTTGTCAAGGATCTGGGAAACACMCGGAGTTCCCCAGCTGCCATGCAAGCCAGCTAATTTTGCAGGCCTGCCAAGGAAAGATCCTAAACCTTCGGGCAGCTTTGGCCTTGTGCAGAGCATCACTGTGCCACCTTTGTTACCCAGAGCGGTGACAGGATGGCAGAGCTGAGTCTGTCACACAGCGGGGGCTGCACATCCGCAGCTGGCGGAACATGGGCTACACCCAGCATTCAGGGGTTAAAGAACACCCCTGAGAGGGTGCCTCAGCACCATAGGGAATTCAGCAAAATGTGTTAAAGTAGTTACCGTCATGTTACTAAATCATGCTGACAATTTTTTTTTGGACGGAGAAGACTATTAAGCCACATTGAAATACARTAGCCATAAACAAATTTTCCACTAATGAAAACTTCTAAAGGGAGAGGAAAGCATATGCCTGTAGGGGAAGAGCAGACAGACTCATCACGTTTTAAAAGTGGCACAGATAAAGTCTTCACCGTAATCTCACAGTGTAACAGCAAAATGCTCTAAAAATGCTGTGTACTTCAGCTCCGCGGGGCTGGTCCCACTCGGCTTTCGGCACTTACCAGAGGCACCTATTCCAGCAGCACGGTTGCCTTTAGGCTCTCTCCTTTGGAGAGAGGCGCCCCCAGCCAGCAAAGCGCGCTCTGGGCAGAGATGAGTGCCCCAGCCTGCTGTCACACGAGAGAAGCGCGGAGAGCAGCGGAACTGGCAGAGAAAACACACGGGTTACAGCGGGGGAGGCGGCACGGCGCTTGTCACCGGCCAGCTGCCAACCGCTGGCTCTGCACATCGACCGCAGCAGGGGGATTGCGGGAACAGAACAGAGACACGGCACGGGAATGTGGGGGCASACAGAGGAGAGGGGGAGGAAGAAACTCATCTTGGAAAGATGCATGCTGCTGTGGCTGAGGAAAGGCAGGTTGGGTGGGCGGCATTGCATGTGAGAAATAATTCAGGAAGGAGCAAAGCTGGAAGAGACTTGGAGGTGGCTGTTGGTCAGCAGGTTAGATTAATTAAAAATCACRTTTTTGTTTATCATGAGATCAACCCAAAACTTCACAGAAGCTAGAGGTGGCTGATGGTCAGCACTGGTTAGATTAATTAAAAATCACGTTTTTGTTTATCATGAGATCAACCCAAAACTTCACAGAACTCAAAGTACCCCGTAAACTTTTCCTGTTTTTATAAAAGCCTGCAGCAGCAGTTTGACACTGACAGCCTGACTATAGAAAGCTGAGGGCAGGCATGGAAGGAGCAAAGCTGGAAGAGGAAGGAGCAAAGCTGGAAGAGACCTAGAGGTGGCTGTTGGTCAGCAGGCCGAGAGCTACGAATCTGAAACAATATCAGGCCAAATCATATCAGGGAAGTTTCTGAGCTGCAGGACAGCCTGCCTGGCTCAAGYGAGCTCCACTGCTCCTCATCTCGTGGATCCCTGCTCCAGCTTCACACGCAGCACTCAGCTTCACCTCCTACATTTGAATCAACTACGGCTGGYGAGAGTGGCGGCAAAAGAGCAAGGATTAAATGGGGTTTTCAAGAAATGAATCAACTTATTAAATTAAATTTGTCTGCCGTGAAATGATTTAAGTGGGAGATATAACGCTGACCCATGTTTGTGAAGGGATAAAAGAAAAACAAATAAGACTTTAACACCAACAAACAAATCATGCTTTGGACTGCAGGTAAGAGGAAAGAAAACAAAATAAATATTGGAACAATTTCCTACAGATTTATCTGCTCAATCTTACCCTGTTGGTTTGTATGTGCTCCCATGACTGTGCTATCTTAGGAGCAGTAAGGTCTGGAATAGACTCTCCTCGGAAAATACAGCCATTATTTCACTGTCAAGAATTTAAAAAAATTCCACAGGTTGCCAGAATACCATGAGAGCATAAAACCGCAGGACTACTATAAAAGAGGGCCCAGACTACCTCATGGACTAGGATTTTGATGTCTAGAGCTTCATTCTTACACTGTGACTGCACCAAAGCAGGCTGTAAATAAATGCCAGTGACATTTCTGTCAGAGCACACTGAACAACTACTTTTGGGCAGAAAAATGATTCATAGACTTGGACGATCACTTCTGTGTGGAAATGRTTCTCACTTTTAGCAGAAGGGAGGCAAATGACAGTAAATACTCCAAAAAAGACACATGGTAAAATGAAGAATTTAAAGGCAGATTTCAACCTGGCACTAACTGTGGCAAGTGATTGTAAATCTCAGTGCGAAATGGGTGCCTTGAATGTCATTTTTGTCTGAGAAAACTTCTTTCTGACTCCCTGAAGTGTCAGTGCAGGTGTTATTGACAGGGGAACACACTAATGGATATGCACTTGTCTGAATGGGTGCTAGCAAGGATAAAAAAAACAAGAACAGACTCAAAATAGCCAGAAAGGAAGAGAGATGGTAAGGAAATAAATTTCTAGAAATAGTTAGTACTAAAGCAATTGATAATTTAGAAGGGAGAAGACTGTCGGTGTAACTATACTACAGAAGTTTGAGGTGCAAGGTTCTCCACATAGAATTGAAATGAATCAATGATCCATTTTCAAAGAAACAGTATAGAGGAAAGAGTTGAAAGCGGCAGTGTGTGTGTGCCAGTGAGCAAGTCTGGAATTCCAAAGAAGTGAATACATTGTGTTTAGGATTGGAAACACAGGAGATAGCACGTGAATAGTGGAAGTATCCAAATGTACATCTGAGAAACCTATTTTAGACAAGAAGAATCAACGAGTCAGATTTAATTCTACGGAGAGTGCTCAGACAGTTTGAGAGGACAACAACACTAATGCACAAACGGAAAGGAGACTGTAGCTACAGAGGCACTCATGTGGATTTCTAATAAAGGGTGAAAAATCTGAAGATAGGTTCCCTTGTTTTGCTCTACTGCTGAAAATGTGGGCACATATATTATTAATGGCTGAGACACACAGACTGAGTAAATGTTGGACCCCAGGGAAATGATGAACACCGTTCAGACACATGCAAACTCAGCATTAGTAATGACTTTTGTGGAACACAAACCAATTCTAGTGTTCAGTGCCAATGGCACTATCATGAAAATAAATAATTTTCACCCCTGAGTGGCAAACGGCTTTCTGTAACACTTTGATTTTTTTTTTCCTTTTTTTTTTTGCCCCTTATCAGAGAATAAAAAGGATTTTGATTATTCCCAGGAAGCTCAAACATAATGAAATATTTGCGTGCTAGTGCAAGTATTTAACTGAGTGAAATAATGTCTGGTTCTTATTTTAGTTAATACTAATTTCCACGGAAGACTATACCCCTCTAATCCCACAGATGGAAGGAGGAAGAGAGATAAAAAAATGGGAAGGTCTTTGGCCAGGGTCTTTAATGTTGGACTTCAATTCTTTTACCTTTGCAGCAATAACAACTCCTTCAGGGACTTTATGATGTGGGACCTAAACCGGTCAGTAAATTTCMATATCTGTCTGTTCCTTCTCCATCCTGGAGCATCACTTTATGCTGGCACACAGGGAGTCTGTCTCCTCTCTGCCCACCCCAGCAATGAGTCAGGAACACCCCCAGGACTGCATGTAAGAGGTTGGGCTTTCACTGCCCACAGCTGACACCCAACTTGTCCCTGAATTCYCAAGCAAGTCACAAGCAGGCATGCACAGCATTCAGCAGATTGGTGGGTGCATGCAGGTGACTCTGCCTAGAAATCTGACACCAATAAAAAAGGGAAGAAAAAGATTTTGTTTACCTTCTGCCTGAATGACCATWATTTTTTGCTTGAGATCAATTGAGGGATTCACAAGACACAACCTTGGCTCCTGCTTCTGAGTCAGGCAGACTCCATTCTGGTTTACCACCATCCAGTTTCGGTCATACAGCAAACCCTGATTCCCCACTGGCCATTCTGTAACCTGGGAAAGAATCAGGAGGGGGTACAAGGGTTTAAAAAAATGTCAATTGCATTAATAGATACATGCTGAAAAGAAATAAAAGGGAAAAGAATCCATTAATAGAACTCGTTGAAATCAGGAAAATTTGTGCAAATCAATGTCAGCTTTTTATAAGAGAAACCTTAATTGCAAATCAGAGATAAAGATACCACTGCACGAAGATGACAAAACAAAATCAAATTACTCTGATTTGCTACATATTATCATAAAGTTTAACAGAGCTATAAGAATAAACAATCTCTGAAACACTCTGAAAACTGTTTTCAATTTTATACYCATCCATTTTTAGGACCTGTTGCTCCAGGAATTTTCAGTTAACTTACAAAACATGGAGATTTTATGGAAGTTTTATGAATTTAAGCAAAACCAAACAAACAGAAAGCAGGAAAACTGTGAAATTCAAAATTATAAAATAATTGTTCTTCATAAAATGGGACCACTTATCAAGTAATTCATTTGCGAAAATCTCCTCCACTGAAGTTTCTAGTTTAGCTGGGAAAATAATAGTTTCTTTAGATCCCCTTACAACAAAAGCACATTGTCTTCTTTGCTATCTGTTCTTCTATTATTCTTTGCATCCAACAGCCCATAGAAGCATATTGTCCTTGCTTTCACGTCCATTTTTCTGGTGAAAAGAACATCTGTTTCGGATGCTACACAGATGGCAATCTTGAAATCCAAAAAGAGAGCAATTTTAGAAATGCCTTTGGGTGACATTAATATCTGCTTTCTTCTCCAGAATGTTAAAATATTAATACCATTCTTGTCATATAAAGCTGGCCATTTAAACGTATTCTTTAGCTCACATCACAGTTGAATTTGGAGAAAAGTTTACAGCTGAACTTAGTTGAATTCTTATAGGAAAGCTGAGTACATCTCACATGAATTACTTGACARAAGACTTCAGCAAAAAACTTGAGTAAAAGATACGTCAAGCACAGCCTGATGCTCTGAAGAAAAGCATGTCTGGAAGCACTRGTTAGATTAATTAAAAACCATGTTTCTGTTTATCATGAGATCAACCCAAAACTTCACAGAACTTCACAAAGTACCTCATAAAACTTTTCCTGCTTTTATAAAAGCCTGCAGCAGCAGTTTGACAYTGACAGCCCGACTATAGAAAGCTCAGGGCAGGCATGCTAGAGCTGAAAACTTYAGGCATCAAAGCTGAACTCAAAATAATTTTGCCACAGTGCTACCAACTATATTGAATACAGAAAATGAGAAAAAAAAAGAGAATAAATATGTTCTCTTGACCTATTTGATTTATAATATTATTTGCCATTTTTTAATGCAAGCATGGATGAAAAATTCAGTGATAAATAGAAATTTTAGGCCTGACAGTGTCATCTGAAACCATTATCTAATCATTATTCAAACACCTCAAACTGTCAGCACCTAAGYTATGTGAACCTTTACCCTGCCTTTTTTTAGGAGAGGAATCATTGCCCAAAGACTGCAGTATCAGCTGAAGAACACACTTTTGTTCTTAGTGAAAATTATTCTTTAGAGAGACCAGCATTTTTGGTTATCCTGTATAATTAGAGTACAAAATGCATTTGAACAGCTGGTGATCATCTGAGAGCTGCGAGAATTTCCTGCTAACAAATCTCCTTTCCAAAAAAGAAGATCATTAATACATCCTCCTATAAATCCAAAAGATCTTTACAGGATTTGCAAGACATAGAGAGCAGAATAAACTAAAAAAGCAGAAAAATAGAAAAGGAGCACGAAGGTGCTTAGTTCCCTATTGTAACATTCAGTTGTTTTGGCTCCACTTCAGGACAGCAATCTTATTCAGGAAATAGCTTAAGTGGTTTCTTACCCTTCACTGAAGTTTTTGAAGTGTTTTCTTACCATTCACAAGAGGTTTCATGAGCAAAACAAAACCTCTCTTTAATCATAGCTTTGGGTAGTTCTTACAGGCTGTCAGGCATTAAAGGGTAAGCCCAGCTAACTAGGTAGCAAATATTTGGAAATAATCAACACCTTCCCCTCAAAACACCTCTGACAGGTCCAAAATAATGGTGACTAACTCCATGCTTCAGTCACACCACAAATGTGATGCAGCACATGATTATGGGTATTCAGCCCATTTCCCTCCCTTCCTCTGGGTATTTGCCATTGCAGTGAGAGTCACACACACGAGCCCTGCAGTGAGTCCCTGTCCTCCCATGGATGTCCTCTGCACCTTGACAAGTGCCCAGCTCCTGCTSCACTTTTCAGCTCACTGCACTGCACATGTTGCTAGGACCCCGACAAAGAAAGTTGCAACAACAGAACAACTTTGTGCCCTGCCTCAGAAGGAGAGTCACAGAAGGCTCTAAACAGCCAGAGCTGGTTTGYTGCTAAGAGTGACACTGGAGATAAGCACGGAAATACACATGAATTTCTTTTCTCAGCACTTAGGTTTGTGCAGACCATGTCCCACTGTATTTTAAAGAGACTGAAGAGGTTGTTAAATAAAGTAAAATAGTGCAGGTTAGCACATGTGGCAATGGCAATACTGCATTGTACAGCTTCTAACATAATTCCCTGAGGGTGCCTGGCCATTTCTGGCTACTGAGACAAACTGAAAGTGGAAGGACAAGGAAAGCAGGGAGAGCATGGTTTTACTGATAGATACCAGCATACACCTTCATTCCTAGCATGGCAGGTGATGATGCATCCCAGAATCATTCAATATTAGGTCTTCTCTACCTCTCACAAGGGTCATTGCATAATACAGCCAGTAGTTGGCATTGTCCCATCTGATTTAGTCCATTTTTTCTTATTGCAAAATAAAAATATCCACTGAAAAAATATGTGGAGATGTTTGTTTTTTTTTTAATTTCCAAATTTTCTTTGTAACATTTTGGGCTGCATTCCTCCCATAGTTCACAGTAACATCATGAAGGCTAGCACAGTTTTAAAACACATTAAAGGAATCACTGAATAGCCTTTAAATTATCTAAGTTTAAAAACATTAGTGGTCTTGCATATAATTTATCCACTGATAACTAGRAATTTGCATCGTATTTTAAATTAAAAGCTAGTTTGTCTTCTWTGTTGAGCTGTAATTTTTTATACTCTGAAATCTACTGCAAGAATAATAAAGTTATTAATTAGTTATTAGTTTAAATTCCTAACCTCTTTCACTGGGCACATTGCATTATATAATTATGTAAAATTCATTGACATGAGAGATGTTCCTGTTTAAAAATGCATGTTTAAAACACATTTTTATGTTGGAAAAAAAGAAAGTGGTCAGGGATAGAGGTTACTCCTCTGCTTCTCCCCATTTAATAAAATAATTGTAGGGAAAAGAAAACCCATTTGAGAAGTTGAGTTAGAATATTCTGCCTTCTGCTTCCTGCACCATAAAATCCATGGGACAGCAGTGGACAGAGACTGTCCTGTGTCCAGGAGCGCTGTATAAAATGCTGCAGAAACCATGTGACCTGCAGYGAGCTGATGATCTTCATGCCAAGTTTCATCCTCCCAGCTGCCAGAGCATTCTGCACTCTGATYTTCTCTGGAGGTCAAGAACCTCTCAGATTAGAACAGAGAAATCAGAGTTTAGGAGAGGAGGAGATTATGTGACTCAGACAAGCAGATCAAACAGCTGTGAGTTTGCACTCACATCCTCCCCGAGTTTGTCCTCCTGCCACCAATCATCCATCCTGCAACCAGCAAATCAGTGGGCAGATTTCACTGGCAGATGTGCTGGTTAGCTGGAATTTTCCATTGCACATCTTATTTTAGGAAAACACAAGTGATCATGTAGTTACAACAAAGTCTATTGACTCCCCATACTAAAGATCTGATCTCCTATAKAAGCTGAAGGGCTGCACTAGAACCTTCAAATCTATGAGCTTCTGAGATCAAGTTTCAAGGTATCACAAGACTAATGAATTTACTAGAGCCCAGTATTTGAACCACTTTTGCTTTTTCCCATCAGCTAGATGAGTTACCCTATAACTGMTAAACATGGAGACCAAATTTGAAAYTGGGAAAATATTGTTCTACATTCCCAGCAACTACAAAGCTTCTAAAGCTGTTTTAGATGTMAAACAAGAAACTGAATTTCAATTTTCAGATTCCAATCAAAGACTAAAGAGACTACAAGCTACATGATTACTGTTTCAGAAGTTTATGGATTTCCTGAAGTAACAAGATAATATAATGTTAAATGTGAAGTCTGTAGGAAAAAGGCCACTAAATAAATGGCAAAAGAATAGCTTTGCACATGATTCAGTCTTTTCAAGATAAAGGCTAGAAATTCTGGTATAATCAATATTTCAGAAGGCAAAATGATTTTCAGGATTTCATTCCATTTAATTGAGATAAGGTTTCTTCTCTAGCATGTCACTTCAAACTCCAATGTGTGTGGCATGGACAGTTTTCCTGTTTCAGGGTGAAGGCCGAATGACACATTAAGACATATACATGTATATATAGATGCATTTTGGAGGCTGGTGCACTCTGCAGTTAGCAATGGTGTGGGTCCTGCCAGCCTTGGCTTTCTATTCTGCTCTTATTCACTGGAAAGATCCTAAGCCACTTTAACTGAGTTTTAAAGTTCATTTTACAAATGGTGGTCTGTAAACTGGCTTTTTTACCTCTCCTATAGGCAGACAGCAAGATTAGCAGATCTTTCACAAGCTGCTTATAAATGTATGACAGATCTAGAAGTGCCAGTCAGACTTTTGGGAAGAAAAGACATGAAGAATATCTGGTGGGCAGGAAGAAGGTGATAAAAACAAACATTGTTGGGGGGCAATTTACTTCAATTCAATATAAAAAAAAAAAAAACCCCATGAAAATCATAATACTCTTTTCACTTCATTTCCTGGCCTGCTCTCCCTATGCAGTGAAAACCCTTTGCCAGTGGATCTGTTAGGTCAGCTTCTACTGTTCTTTTAYGTGCATTCATGTATCTTCTATGTACCACATGGAAACCAAGTGGAAATGCACAAAAAATACTTCTTGAGAAGAGGAGGAGAAGAGCTAAATTATAGCTCTTTGTAGTGAAATTCCAGTCCTTTCCAATACCATGCACTAAAGTCAGTATTTATTTCATTTTGTGTTACTTTTTGGCAATACAGGCTTTGACAGTGCTCATATTCCAGGGTTCTAATGTGACTGATGCTTTGTCATGAATCAAAAACAGACTTCAAAAATTACTCTAGGCATGCAAAAYTAAACCTCATAATCTAGTGGCAATTTTTATATCTATTTTTATTTTATTCACATCAGCTAGTGTTAGCTGCATAATCCAAGTTGCCTTGGACTCCTCTTTTAGTCAATGAAAAGAGACAGAAATATCCAGGAGCAATTCATCTCTCCTACTGCAGATGACTGTTTTGTGATAAAATGAATAAGCAGGTATCCATCTCTCACTGCTTAGAGAACAGTGTCTGACTGTAGAGGTGGAAGCTGAGGTAAAATGAGCTCTGTTTTCACTCTGGGCCCATCTACACATGCCTGGAACAAGCACTATGCATGGGAATTCCTCTCTCCACAGAGAATTGCAGTCCTGTCTGCCAGGGAGTACCAGGATTGTGTGAATTTACCACCYAGAGCTGTTTCCCCTCACAGAGCTTGAAGAGGAGAAACCTGGCTCAGCTTGTGGGGAAATATGAGCTTTCTTTCATGCTGACGTATGTCTTACCTGCTCCTGGGCACAATGGCTTCAAAGCCTTCCCAGTGCTGAATGTTGTGGCATGTGTCTCACAACACCAGCCTGCATGTCAAAAATCCAGTTTAACCCCAAAGGCACCTGAACACTGCCAGTGTMTTTCAGCAGCTTCTATACTGGGCTTCTGTAATACAGCTATAAAAACTGCAACACTTAARCAAAGGTTAAAAGGTTTGCACATGAAATGGGCAATTAATTTGATTTTCTGAACAGTTTGATCTAGTGGGAGGTTAATAASGAGTGGAAATTGTTTGTTTGGGTCTCATTTAATGCTCAGGATTGTGCCTCTGAATTAAAGGCACCGTAAGCCAACCCAAACTTAAAAATAGTGATGTCTTGTTGATCATTTAATAGTGTTTAATTGCCTAATCTCTGTGCATTGAGAAAGAAACCAAAATATGATCAAATCAACTGAGAAGSCCTATTTGAAATGCAGGGGATTCATCACTGGATTTGACCCCAATTTTCTCTCAGATGTGAGACACCGACCTACASCAGTAAATTTTTGTAGGGAAAGTTATGGCATTATTGACATTCATTAAATCACTTCCCAGTATGGTACTAAGCAGAGTGACATTCTAGGTCATGTGTGGGCCATACACCTATTTCATCATGCATTATTTAAAAAAAAAAAAAGTCGCAGCTAAGGTGATGATATTATTAACTTGGTAAAAAAGCAATTAAAATCTTCAAAGAGTGAACTTTCAAATAGAGCAGCAACACTTAAATGTCATATTTCTGTTGCAAATGTATTTTTAATGATAACATTTCTTTGTAATGCAAATCAGCTGCCTCTCAATTATAACATGTTAATCAAGTTATTTCTCAATTGCTGCCTACCCATCAATGCCTACAAGTCCATCACGTGCCATTCTGTAAAAGCATACTAATTTCTTGATTATATTTTAGTCCAGTTTTGCAAATCCAACTATTTTCTTCAAGACAGCGTATTACGTGCGGATTTGTCTGTTGTGGGGGAGGGGAGAGCAGAAGATGCATTTACCCCCCTCGTAGCTTCAGCACAACTGAAAATCTTTCAAGGTAGCCTAACACACACTCAATCCCAGAAACTGGAAAAAAGGAAGCATGGGTACCCACACAGAGCTTCCTAGTATCTCCTGCACACGTGTCTGAGGAAAAACACCAGGCTGAGCTGAACAAACACTTCCAAATGGTTCAAAGCACGTACCTCAAATGCAGAGCAGGATTTGATTGGGTAGAGGTAAATTTTGGCGACAGTGATGGGCTTGCCACCTTTTCTGCATGTTGGCACTGCAGTTTCGGAAACAGCTGCCCTTATGCTTTCTGCCTCACGCTCTGGTGGCTGCCAGCTCCCAGTTGTCCCTGTGTCAGATGGATTATTCTGGGGTTCTCTGTCCGAGATTTGCAGTAYTGGAGACAATTCATCTGCACTGTTAAAAGAAAGGTGGTCATCTGGAACAGATTCTGTCGTCAGCTTTGTAACAGACTGGAAAGGAATCTCAGTGTCCAGTTTGGAGAGTCTGGTGGCTATGATGAAATTCAAAAAATTCTGTGCATCTTCAAATGTAGACATGTAGCCAAAGGATATTCTCACGGAACCAGTGGGACGTCCATCCACTAGGTCTATATTATCTCCACAGACATGGCCAGCCTAGTTTGAAAGAGGAAGAAAACCAGAGAGCTGTCATGACAATTTTCTTTCTTTCTCTTTTACCTAGTTATTAATGAGTCTCTTAATTCTCACCTGGAAAAATGYTGTAAAAAAATACAAGCTTAACTCATCAATACAAAGGGAAGATGGAAAAAAAMCCCTCAATCATCTTATGATTTACACACATTGTGAAGAAGATAATCTTGAGCTGCTTGTCATATTCTACTCTAAGGGGAAGAGATACTTCTCAAAGACTCAAAAAGGTTTGTATGCCCCACGATTGCTAGCCAGGACATTCTCCAGGGATATTTCTGTTTCACCTGCATTGTTCACTGGGATTTAAACTGTGGTATTATGTTCAGATAAGTGAACAGCTACAAGAGAGATGATTTTTCTGGGACAGTTSTCTTGATATTCACTGTCAGAAGAGTTCCATTTTATACCATCAGTGTCTTATTCATGGCTCATGTTAAATAGTCCAAAGGGCAGAGAACTAACTCATCTGGGGTATCAGCAAAGCAGAGACTTGGATCTAGACCTATGAAGTGACATTGGAATATTCATATTTGTCTTTCAGATCCAGTCAACACATTGCTCTCAGGATGGAGGGAACTAGCCTTTCCACTAACACTTCCTCATTGGAAGAGCACAAGTCTCCACTTTAAAAAGTTTTGCTGAAAAATTCTTTGAATTCCCTATAGTGATGTCCATCTCCCATACAACATTTSATGGAAAACTCTCCCTTAAAAGCAAAAGTTGCTCATTATTTAAGTGAGTCAGTGAGTGGTGCCACTCACCACCAGTGAAGCAAGCCAGTCCCCTTTGCGCATCCATTTAATATTAGCTCACCAATGGACATAAGATTTAGTTTTAACTCATCCTATTCCCTAAGTGCAGCAGCTGTTGGGTTTTTTTTTCCCTCAGCATTTAATTTATTTACACATTTCTATTACATTAAAAATGGAAGTGTGAATAGTTTATTTATATGAGGGCTTTTTCTCATATAAATATATATAAGCAAGAAATGTCACAGTACAATGAACACAGATGCCATTTATGCAAGGAGAAATAAAACCCCTACATCTATGTCAAAGCATGCAACACAGTAGTAAATATTTTAATGCAGTGTGATGTAGTTTTTACCCTTAACAGAGCACAAGCAACATTTGCAAAATTAGGTTGCATCTGTTAATATACCCTTCTGTAACCCTTCTGCCAAGTATTTCTTGATTGACTGGAGGAGAGAGGTTCCTGCTGTGCAAATAAGTAGACAAGTTCCTATATAACATTCTGAGAAAACTAACCACACTTCTCCAGGGACGCTTGAGGACAGAAAGTCCACCCTCACAGGCATTTTATCATGTAAATCTTCATCAGGGAAGGAAGAACACTGCCAGCACCCTGGGAAAAGATGAAACTGAAGTATATGTGCAAATAATGTGATAAAAGATGCCTTCCTCTGCACAGTAATGTTGTCAATAACTCATCCTGATTCTTCTCAAAGCACTGATGGGAATGGAATGTCCCAAAATAACGACTGTGACTGTACCACCTCATTATACAAACCTTGGCAGATTAAGTGTCTCTCCATAAATTTAACTTTGGCCTATCCCATTTAAATGATACAGACCTGAAAGAAGTCACTCACTCCTTAGCAAAATCTTCCTTGTATAAGGAGAACCAAGAGCATTGCAGCTGGTTATCTGGCATTTTTCACACAAGGGTAGCCYCTTTTTTGCTTTCTCAGAGGAGACAGTTTCCAGGGTAAATCAAAGCACCATTTTGCCAAGGAAGGTATTAAAGAACTGCAGCAGCCTTTAAGAACTTGTGCTATCASACCTGCATGTAAATGTGTTTGCAAAATTCTCTATATGTCTCTGTGACATTACCAGGGAGCTATAGTATCATTACAGCCATTAGCTTTTGAGGGTTTTTTTTTTGCCTTTTGAAGAACACCATTAATAAAATTTTTGATTGTTCTGAATTAATTTACTGTAATTTAAAACTCTGACAAATATGCAGACAGGAAGCCTCCTCCACTTCACTGTAATACATCCTGCYATACATCTTTTAATGACAGCTCATGGAAAACATTAGTAATCTTGAGAACAGTCTTTACATTCATATCCTAGCAATCTAACACACCAGCAATCTAAGTAGATGTCATCTAAATTTACTTCATTCTCTGAGATTCACTGTGTRTTCCTCTTTATTGTTTCTTGTCCAATTTGCATGTGTATTTTAAACTGTAACACACAACTGCAATAGATCTATAATACTTGAATATTATTATGTAGAATAATTAATTAAGAATACTTAAGGAACAACATGAGTGGAATTGTCCAGGAGCTTGTGTTCTGCTGGAAGTCTGGATATCGTGCAATTCCAAAACCAAACAAGAAGCCCCAATTTCCTATTCTCCAATGAAAGCAACACATATAACAAGCAATATATACTTCTTTGGGTCCATCAAATGATTTTGTTTCAATACCTCATTTCAAGAAGCTGAATTTCAGTTAGTTTAGTTCTTTAACGAGGCAAGTGAGTTGAAAGGTCATAGAAAGCAAATCTCACAGTGACTCAAAACCATGGGACATGACAAATCTACTTTAGCTTTAAACTTCTAATCCCATTCAGAAACTAACCTGCAGGTTCCTTTGGATGTCCTCATTGCTTATATCCAAATGCATCTGGCAGGCTCCGGTGTTGCAGAAGCAGCCTGTGCGAACATGTATGTTGTGGAGACTGGCCATGTTGTCCACCTTCCCARTTCAGCAGAAGATACAGGAGAAGAATGAAAAATAGGTATTTTAAGGTTGTGGTCAACAAGATACACTATTTTGAAGGTAGAAATCAATGGAGGTAAATTACGACTCTAAAMAAATAACGACTTACTGTAGCTTTTACCATTTAGCATTTTTCAACTTTGTTATTTCAGTTAGAAGAAAACARCAGTAGAGGCAGAGATGTTTACCTTGACACTGAGAGACTACCACACACAAAACACACACAGTCAGGTCCTGATCCTGTAAATTCCAGTACATCTGCTGAATTTTAAACCTGTGAACAGGTTTATTCACATCAGTACTGCTAATTACAGACCTGCAGCCTGGTGTTACTCGGTGCCTTGGCAAAGCCACCACCTGCAACTGCCCCTGCAGAGACTGAAGAGAGGCCTGGGGCAACTTCTCAGGTAGCTAAAGGAAACCTTGTGCTCCAAGGATCTGAAACTGCAAGTCCTCATTACACAAACTTATGGCATCTGTGGGATTTTGGCACAAAAGTGCTGGAAGGATCAGCCCCTCGGTAAKCAGTAACATCTGCCAGGAGAGGGAATGAACTGGAATATCTCCTTGAGTCTCACACATCCAACCACCCAATCTGCCCAGTCYCTGGTGCATTTCTTCCTTGTGGTCTTTGGTATTACACCATTTCTTTATCATCCATAAATAATAGATGGGCAGAAATGCAATACTTGATGACAAACTAGCATGAATAAATKATGGGAAGGAATGATAATGATGTGAAAAGAGAACATAAGCACATGTCCATATGTGCCTCAGAAGGAGACATGTATATGCATGCTCTGGGAGGACAGCACTGCAAGCGATACGGATTGTCAGGGCTTCACAGCACAGCTAAGAAACAAGGGAAGCACAACATGGGGATCCTCTTAGCACAGCTCAGAAACCACTGAAGCCCACTGCAGGGACCTGGAAATRCTTTATATTGATTTCAAAAAGCAACAGCAGCAGCTGGTAAGATTAGTGAGCTACCACTAATTATTTCTTTGACAAAAAATGATGARTATTCCTCATCAAGACTGCAAGAAAGGCTAGTCAAATGATTCAAATCTGACCCCACCTCTACCACAGACTCCCAAAACAACCTTGCACAACTTGCATCAACCCCTCTGTGCTTTTGCTCCTTTTGTACAAAATGAGATCTGAGAGCCCTGTGAGTGACCACAGTGCAGACTCAGGGGACTCTCCTGTTCTGTGACAGAATCCTCCTCGCAGGAAGCTCGGGCTCAGCTGGATGCAGAGCAACAGCTGAGCCTAAAGGTGCAGGAATGGGAGTGTCAACCACCTCATACCAACCATTTTCCTAACTGTGAGCTCATGCTTTGTTTGAGATATCAGTGCAAATATTCAACCTACCTTTTCTAGCTGGCTAAATCTCTACTGGCTGTTATTATTTTTAACATAAATTCCCTCTGTACAAGATAATGGCCCAATACATACAGCAAATACTTTCTAGTATAATTCAGTCTATCTTCTGTCTTGACACATCAATCTTTTGACGTCAGTCTATCTTCTTACATCTCCGAGTTTAACAGTGTGAGGCGCCAAGCACTTTTAGTGTCACTATTTCAGCAGCTGGAAGAATCAAGCCTTCTATTTGAAYTGACTCCATGCTGAAATAATTCAACCTAAATAGCATTTAGCTCTGCTAAAAGCGGTTCAAACAGAGTTATTGTTTTTCTTCATGTGTGGGGCCTGAGGGTCTCTGCACAAAAATAGGTTGTATAGGCAARCATTCTRCATTGCTATAGCTATAGCAATAGCTCACAAGTTCTCAAGTTCACATTTAAATATGTTCTGCGCCACTAGTTCAGTTCAAAAATTGTTTGGTTCTCCAACAGGGATATAATCAAAATAACTCCCTATATGCAGATTTGGAAAGCAGAGAATACAAGCAGCCCCAAGATCCCTATTGATGATCAATGCCTTGGAGGATATCTTGTGTTTAAAGCATGTCTCTTCAATTKAAGTTATAGTAAAAGGCATCTGTTGAGAAAGACTGTTGTAGTGTTGCTGGCTTTGTTTTGTCAGAAGACTTCAATATGGGAACAGTGACATTTTCTTGATGTCTTTTTTCATTTAGATGAGAAAAGTTGTCATTCTGCCRTAACATGGCTTGTCGTGGTGCTTGTGACTTATGGGCGGATCTGTCATTCTGTTAATGATGACAAGCAAGGYAACAATCACGACATACTTCACTACTGAAATTGTACAGCCTTTGGGCTTATTTCCTGARCATTCAAAAAACTTTAAAATATATMATCCTTTTACCATTAATACTTTTTTAAAGAAACATTCCTGGGGCAGCCTTGTTTATCAAAGTGTACGTAGTGCAATGAAGTTTCCACGACACATCTTCAAGGAATTGCAAGATTTTTTAAAAATCTTTTGAATTTTGTCAAATAAATTATTACTGTTCTTTAATGAACCGTAATTTCATTATTGCTATGCAATCCAATCCTCTTCTACAATAATACTTTAATTGTAATATATATTAATCTGTACATTAGACAAGGACTACTGAGACATAAAAACATGATCATTAAATGAATATGGGAATTATGATTCAGGAAAAAAAAAGATAAATTATGAATAGCTTCAGTATTAACTGAAATTCATTATCWCCAATGTGATAATGTGCACAGATCTTGGGAACGTGATGCACACTTTTCCCTGGACACAATGACACCATGTAAAGAACCAGAAAAGGCAGCACTACAAATATAATTGTCCCTTGCATGGATGCTTGGTTTTCCCTTGGGCATCTGTTCTGATTTCTTCTGGTTCAGTTTCACTCTAGAAATACACTACTTGGGGAGCTCATTTAATTTCTCTCTGCAGTGCTACCACATAGCAAAACAAATAGAACATAAAACATCTGTTACAGTTATTTCAATGAAGAAAAGCTTCCTTAAATAAAGCACAACTTTAAAATTGCCATAAGGTGCAATAATGGTTATTGAGCTCAGGATTATGAAATACAGAACATCGCATGCAGTTCTGTAGCAGCAGAGACTGACTTTTGGGAGCCAAGAATAYGTTCATCAATGAAGGCACAGGAGCATGAATAGTACTAATGATAAGTACACAGCTTAATGTACTTGGATTGTCAGTATTGGTGATTCCCTGGATCTGATATTAGGAACTAATGTGCGTTGTTTTCTTTTTGAGATTAAAGACTACAATTAAACTAGAAAACAAATGCAGAAATCTTCATCATTTTTACTGATTTCACTCTGAGGACGTGGTAATTAAGCCATCATGCTATCTTAGAGTCCCTTGTGTCTCTCAGAGCCCCTTTGCATTCATTTCTCTTTCTGAGGCTCTTTACTGCGAGCCTGGCCCTGTAGGTTGCTTCACACCCCAACACTTCCAATGTCACATTGTCTTGATTTTTGACAAGCAAAATGTACTTTTCACACTTCCAAGTCACGGTCTTCAAATTTAATAAAGATATATAAAGAAGTTTGCTTAGACCAATTTTTTAAAACAGGAATTTTTTTTTCCACCAGTGAGCTTTCCTTTAGTGTTGCCAGATTGACCAAATGCTCACATTTAGGTTTTTTTCTTAGTGTTCTATCTGTTAAATAATTTTCATTTTTGTTACAGAAAGTATTGAAGTGGAGAGCTTTCCCCCTCCTCATTTCAATGCATTATCCTACAGCAGTCCCTTCTTGGAAATCTTTTATTTCACTTGACACTCATCAGCTGAAAAGCTCTAAGAAATGAGATTGTGGTATGTTCTGCTTTCCCATTCCCTGTCACACAATTGCACTGGTGACTYCTCTGCATTTGCTAAATTACTGATTTCTGCTATCCATTCACTTCAGGGCCCATGGGGCACTTAGTGAAAGCCGTAAGCTTTTCTCTGGCTTCAGGTTCCACTGAAATAAGTCAGAGAATGATACTTGCTGTAGCTATGTATATACTAAATGAGAGAAAAGATTTACAAATAGCACATAATTTTGCATTATTCCTAATCAGCTAAGTCTAAGACTTTCACTAAGAATGATGAATGCTTTAGAAACCCCTGCTGAAGTCATTCCCATAGGATGCAATTCTGTAGCTCTTATTCAAGCAAGTATTTCTTATTTGTGTAAGATATCTTACTGAGTATCACAAGAATTATTCACATGAATAAAGGAAYTTTTTATAATACATCATGAAGTGTTCCGAAAATAAAAAAAAACCATATAATTCAATACTGGCAAGTACTGTCCTTTAGGAATTGAGATTAGGACTTCTCGTTCTGCTTCCCACAGTGCCAATGCCCAAATATCAGAGCAGTTTGTCTGTCTGATGGATTTGCTCATTACAAGAATTTCACTGCACACCACTGATGGCTGGTTATAAAACAGGCTTCATGATGCTGTTCTCCACATCCACTGGTAAATTAATGCACTGATTCATGGCATGGAATTGGAGAGAAAGTAAGCTGGCTCTTTCTGTCATCCAGCATTTGACTGTGAAATGCTGTTGCTGATGCAAATGCATACTTAATCTTGTTTAATACAATTTAATAAGAAGTAGGTCAGAAGGAAAAAAAAATCAGCACTTGTTTCCAAATCATTTAGTGCGGGGGAGAGGGGGKAAGAATTTTAGTTGAGTTACAGAATCATTGAACTGTTTTAACTGCATGGTTTTCTGCAACAAAAGCATTTTTTTTTCCATCTCAGAGAAATAATTTCTATGTGGGTAGATTCCCTCAGTATCAAGGAATCTGATCCTCTCCTCTTTTTTTCTTCTCTAGTTGTTGACAATGGTTTAAATTAACTGAAGAGAGGATATATATCTCTATTCAGTCTTCATCCATTCATCACTTACTCTGACCAAAATCCCTTTGSTAGAAGGCAGTGAAGTATTAGAGATATTGAAATTTACTGAAATTGTCAAGTTCAGTGTCCTGATAGTATAAATGCTAGCTTATCAAGAACTTTGCAGTCAATGTGATAATTTTC